GAAAGAGAAAAAAATGTTTAAGAAGAAAATTACAGTGCACTTTTCACTAGATTCTAGCTTTGTCTATACTTTAAGATCTTTTGTGAATCAATAAAATGTGGAAAAATTTTTAGTATGGAAGGGAGGAAGGGGGGAGGGGAAGGGAAAAAATGGGTAAAAGTATACTTAATTGACAAGAAGTTATTTGCTGATGATAATGTATATAGTAATATCCTTGTCTTGACTGACATGCATGGTATTTGTGTTGGGAAAAGAAATGTATACTGGAAAGACGTGATCAAATGTTAATTAAAATAATTAATTAAAAAAAAAAGAAAGGAAAACTTTGTTACTATTCCTGTACTCAGTAAAGTTCTGAAGCACACATCTGAGAGATATCTGAAACACCTAATGAAAAAAATAAGCCCATGTCCCTCACTGAAGACAGCAGCCAGCCCTGGCACACTGCGGTAAGTTCCAAGACCCCAGTGGAAGCCTGGAGCCACAGGCAGTACTGAGCCCACACACAGGGGTGAACGCTGCAGAGGTCAGGGAGGCAGATACCCCACACAGCTGGGAAACTGCAACTTCTGACACACCAAGAACATTACTGAGAGTCCACTAGCTACTGCTCTCTGAAGTCTTCCCAATCATAAAAACGGTTGAGTAATACACGACATATTTTGTGTATTTTATGTATTACTTACTATATTCTTGAATAAAGTAAATTAGAAAGAATGTTTAAAAAATCATCCAATATATACTTATAGAAAGAAATCCACATAACATGGATCTGTGTGGTTCGAACCTACTTGTTCAAGGGTCAAATGTACTGCATTTTTTTTTCTTGTACATACTGATGATAAAGCTTAATTTATAAATTAGGCTCAATAAGAGATTAACAATAACTAATGATAAAGTACAACAATTGTAGCAATATATAATAATATCGGGTCATCGGGAAAGTCATGACACATTTCTGCTTAGAAAACAAGGAAACACGTCATGACGCTGATGACGACGGAGTAGCAGTGAGTGACTGTGGGCCCTCTCAGAGCATCCCACTGCACTGCACTGCACTCACCTACGTTCAGACCACAGTTCACTGCTGCTACGGGAGACCTGGGAAAGTAAAACCCCAGACAAGGGGTGGGGCTGGGTAACACCTAAAACTTCCCATATAAAAACACAATATATAATACTAAACTTGAATCACTAGTCCCTTAATAATAGAGGGAAAAGTAAACCCATATGTTTTGCCATTTGATAATGGACTCCCATACCTGAGACAAGAGAGTCCATATTCTGTCTTGACACAGACTGAGCAAACCACTTCATTGAGTTCTATGTATGGACTGTATATTGATAACAATATAAACTAAAAATGTCAGTGATGCTGAAAATAAAAAAATAGCCAGAAAGAAAAATATCTTGCTTACATCATAATCATGCCCCCCCCCAATCGATCTCACTTTATAGTCACTCTTCACTGCCGAGAATATGTAAAAGAAACACTGAACAGAAACAGAAGTGTAACACAGAGATGGAACAAAGAACACCTTCAGTGTTCCCAATCTAAGGACAAACAGAATGTCCCCTGGGATGGTCTCACTGCCTCAGCAAGGGGAACAGCTCTCTTGCCCCAGTTGGGTCACTCTCCCCACAGTAACTACAGGGTAATAGCAAGTCATGAAGCACCATAACCAAAACCAAACTGGGAGACTGAAAAAATAAAGGGAGGAAAAACATGGCCTATAAACTGTTTAGCAGATTATCAGCAAACTTGGAAGTTTTACTGAGCAAGTAGCAGTTAGCTAGAAAGCAATATATCCCCACATTTGGGAACTGGAAAACGACATAAGAGAAGCAAAGCAAATATTAGGACACGGCACATGGCAGACGTAACGTGTCTGGGAAAAGGCACATAGGTACACACAGCATATTGTGGAACGTGCATCAATAAAAAAACAGTCCTAACTATTGAAACTGGTTTTCAGTTTGAAGAAAACTCTCCCAGGAAGGAAAGATCCAAGAAATATGTAACAGGAATATTTATGATGATCTTTAAAGAATATTCAAAAGTAAACCTTAGATTCAAACTGCTAATTTTGAGAGTCACAACCATGAAGTGTTTATATAACTATTAAAAACAAAACAAGTCAAAATAAAATTCAATAACAAAAAGAAACCTTTGGGGGAGAAAAAGAACTGGTTTGAGAAGAAAAGCTCTCTTGGTATAATAGAAATATCAAAGAAAGTACTTTTTTAAAAGGCATATATTCCATTTACTAAATACATTTTCGAGAAATGACTAAACTCTACGTGGCAACTGCTTTGCTTTTGGTGTAACTTGTTTGCAAAGACTAAAATATATCTGGAGTTTATTACGAGATCAATTTTTATTAAAATCAATACATTTTTTAAAATGGTCTTACAATTCCCAACAGATAATGAAGACCAAGACAGGGCCTAGTCCAGGAGCTTAGTGATTATGGGAGCCAGATCCCACACGGCTGACTACAGCTCAAATCCCAGGTCTAGCTGCTTGAGAAACATGCCCAGCGTGCCCCAAAATCCCACTATGATGGAGAAAGAAGGTGCCTTGCCCACATCTGCTGCTGCTGCTGCTCACTGTGAGATGGGTTACTTTCTCCCTCGCCCTCCCTTTTTCTCTTTGGTAAGCACACATACTTCTGGCAATTAAAAAAATGATCAAGATATTATTCCTATTAAAAGTCAACCTTTGGGAACCAGCAGTTAGCATAATGGCTATGTCGCTGGACTTCCACGTAGTCGACCACGGTTCACGTCCCGAACCCGGTGGCTTAAAACTCACGCCGGGTGCATGTGCGTGTGTGCCCAAAATCCCGAGAGGAGAATGGAGGAGAAGGGATTGCGGCGTGACCATCCCCCCTGGGGGGTGATTTCTCGCTTTCTGTCTCTCTGTCTCTCTCTCTCTCTGTTTGGCAAGCGCATGCGCCCTATAGCGATAAAACCTCTCAAAAAAAAAAAAAAAGTCAACCTTTAATCACTGGAAGCAATTTAAATCATGTGACTTAAAACTCCAAATGACTACTGTGACTACTCATTTCTCCACTGTTTGATGTCTTATTATTTTTAAAAACTGTCAGAAAGTAGCAATTTTGTAGTATAAATCATTCTTAGCCACAATTTATTTTACCAAGTAGTTTCACTTAAATTTCACTTAAAAAGAACTGGAACTCATCCTTGAAGGGTAGAATATACACTACTTAAAACAATCTTTTGAAGGGTGTACTTTCCTTCCTGGAGATCAATAATATGAGGGGAAATATGTATTATGAAAAAACTATGCATGAAACGTGTAAAATATATCCTAATTTAATAAAGAGAAATCCTACAAGAGTTAGCACTAGAAAAATGAAAATGAGAAATTCTCCAGCATGAAAAGTTCCCTTCATAAATACGCAGTAAATATAGGCTGGTAAAATCTATTCACAGGTTATAAAATAGATTTAGTTGTATATTCAAAACTTTACTGTTTCTTAAAGGTCTATTGTTACTATGTCACAAACTTTTTTTGAGAGAGAGATTTTTGTCATGGAGCACATATGCGAGACAGAGATAGAGAGCAAGAAATTAGTCCCCACGGAGGATGGCCATGCCACAATCCCTTCTCTCTCGGGATTTTGGGCACACATGCACATGTACTGGCATGATTTTCAAGCTGCCAGGTCTGGGACTCAAACCATGGTCGGTCATGTGAGATCCAATGCCTTAACCATCAAGTCACCTGCTGGCCCCTTAACAGTATTTTTAAAGTAACAGTCAAAACACCGAAGTCTACATTACGTCTAATTTCTACCTGAGGATAGAAGAATTGCCCTCCAAGCTGAGGCTGACTGACATACATTTGATTTTATATAACAGCTCTGACAAGTTTTCTGTCAACGTAACCACAACCATCCTACCTGTTTGGAACGAGGTCTACCAGGAGAAAATTTTCTTTTGGTAATAGCCGGTTTACCCATGCCGATTTTGGGGGTGACTGAGATGTATGTGGTCGGCATGATGTTTCCAGCAGAGGAAGTGAGAGTTGGGGGGTAGCTACGCAGCATGTCATGGGAAGGCAAGTCTGAAGGAAGAGGCGGTGAGGAAGACACCTTTGCCTTGCTCATGTCTGCTGCTGACGGCAGCGATGGCTCTGTCTCGGACGGCAGTTTTACAGATGTGTTCCCCGTGCATGACCCATCTTTTACACAATCCTCGGTTACGGGAGTCATTTCAAAGTCCACAGTCCCAGTGGAAAATTCAGAATTTTCTTTTGGTTCCCTTTCTTCTTGTACACTTTTTACAGCCAACTGTTCCCTGGAACATAATGGAGTATTTTCATCATGTGGAGACACAGAGGTTTCTGGGGGAACAGTAACAGAGTCCGTGAGTACTTTCTGAGGCCTCAACTCTTCCTCGGATACCAACGGTTCAGGCTCTGTTAACAACTCCAGTTCTTCTTGCCGCACAATGATCTGGTGTGGGAAGACTTCGATGTTTTCTGTCACTTCCATGTTGTCTTCATTTTGTTCTTCATCACAAACCTGCATCGCTTTAGGAGGTATTTCCACCTGTTCACTGTCAACCTCATGAGAGATCTGGCTTTCCATTTCAGTGTTCAATGTACTTTGGGATGACTCTACAAAATTCAGAATATTTGCTATGTTAACATATGTGTACGTTGAAACATATCTTACTATGAAAAGGTAAGACATTTCATTAAGCCATGCCTTATACTCGAAGGTATTCATCAAGAAAGGCAATTATGAAGTTACTAAAAGTGAAAATACACAACAGTTTACAGATTCAAATAAATCCCAGATGAGAAAAACCTTATAAAAACATGGCTTCAAACAGGATCCTGAGTTTAAGGTAAATTTTGATAACAGTATTAAAAATTAAAACAGAACTATGTAATTACTAATTTAGTTCTACTATACATACATAACTTTTTACAATTTAAGCACCCACAATAGGACTGAAAACGATGTAGGTGAAGTTATCGTACTCATTCTACAGCTAGGGAAATGAGGTGTCCAAGATAGAAAGCGAAGGTCTGTCACAGCAGCAGGCTCCCGGACCTAACGGGACTCGGGCAGACTCGAATGAGGAGCACAGGGAGACGGCAGGTGGCCCAGAGACCCACAAATCTACCCAGAATATTTGCTGACTATTACCCTTGATTATCCCCATCGTCTCTAACCTCGAACACTAATCTCAGCAAGTCTATACGCACAATTAGGTATCAGAAATATATAAAGTCACTGATTGGTAAATGTGAAGTCAGTGTACTGGCATGCTAATCCTTTAACCCAATCTCACTTAAAGTTGGAAGACAAAATGAAAGGAGCCTATGTAGTTCTATAAAGTAGAACTGCTGAAGTTAAAAGGTATTTATTTTTTCCAAATGTCCTGAAAGTAATTCTTTTTCTTTTATTTGCCAGAAAGTGCATGTACTTACAGGAGACAGAAAGGGACAGTGAGAAAGCAACCCCCAGAGGGATGGCCATGTCTTAGTCCTCTCTCCTACAGTCTTCTCACAGGGTTCTGGGCACACACGAGAACACACACAAACACAGGCCTGGCATGCTCTTCAAGTCACCAGATCCAGGACTCGAACTGTGCAGCTGGCCACATGGGATCTAGCCACCGCAACCATCATGCCACCTCCTGGCCCACAAAGTAACTTTTTTATAAAGGTTTTAGCCATAGGATGCTTCACTCACAGGAAGAGAGACAAGAAAGAGGGAAAGTGAGAAATCACCCCCCAAGTGGGGGTAGCCAAGCCACAATCCCTTCTTGTCCACTCTCTCTGGAGAATCTGGGCATGCATGCATACGTACTCAGCATAATTTTCAAGCTCCTGCGTTCAGAACTTGAACAACAGTAAGCCATGTGGGAATCCAGTGTCTTAACCACCACGCCACCTGCTGGCCCCCATAAAGTACTATTTAAGTCACATTTATAAAAACACGAATTTTCTCCTTTATTATTTACCAATCAGTGACTAAATTTATCTATGTTCTGGTATCAAAATGAAATTCCACTCTTCATGATTACTTTTTAAAAAGATTACATCTGAGGATAAATGGAAAACATCAAATAATAGACCTGATAGAACTAAAATAAAAATTAAAACGGCAAAACAAAAAAGAAGCCCTTCAGGCTGAGCCTGGTAGCACAGTGGTCAGACACAGTGCATAAGGAGCAGGACCCCACATGGTGGGATCAAGTACCAGTCATGATGGCTTGAAAACACGCTGGGTATGTGTGACCGAAAGCCTGATGGTATAGAGAAATGAAAGGATGGCAGTATGACCACGCCCCAGCATGAGGTAATTACTCTCTCTTTTTCTGACAAGTACATGCGCCCTCAGACAATTAAAAAATAAAAAGCAAGCTTTGTTGAGAAAATAATCTTTAGACACATTGTCAATTCTTTTCAAGAAAAATACTTAACTAAAAGATTTAATTCCTGAAATGTGGACATGGTAAGTGAAAAATGTCTTTGGAATAATTTACTTGGAACGTTAATTCAATGAACAGCACCTCTGACCTGCATTCCTCTAACTCAGTCACAGGGTTGCTCACCAGAGACTAGGAAGCCGTCTGCGTCCCGCCCTCCCGGTGGATCACTCTGCTGCTGCTCTTCAGTGTAGACTTCAACTGCAGTGAACAACACATTTAGGGAACCTCCTGGAAGGACTCAAAGCCTCTCTAATACTGTCCCCTCAACAGCAATCTGAGTAAGAGTTTCACTCTACTACTAAATGCCAATTTCCAATCTCAGCACAAAACATACTGTTTTAGTTAGTAAGAAGACAATGAAGATGAAATTAAGATCTGTTTAAGCATTAGAAGATTGATTACAGGTCTTTTTATTTGTCCACACTCACACCTGTAACAGTATAACTCTTAATGAGAGTTGTTAAATGTGGACTTAGTAAATTAAAAATCTCGAAGCTTTTTATGAACACATTCAAACTATATAACTTACCATACAACTTGGTATGCAAAATCAAATACTTTCACATGAGCCCATTATTCAATGTATTAAGCTATTTTCCCCTAACATGCTCTCATTAGTTGTAGAGCCTTAGGACATTAACAACTATTCTTAATATTGCAAAAAGTTCATTAAAATTTCACTGAGGCTGGTTCCATGGTCCAGTTGTTAGAGAGAGCCAGAGCCTTCACTGTAGTTTGAATCTCGGCCATGCCAGCCTGAAAAACACGTCAGGGGGGTTTGTGTGCATGCCGGAAATCCAGACAGGACAGAGAAATGGAGAAGGGATTGTGGTGTGACCATATGGGTGGGTGCTTTCTTCCTTGTGCACACACCCTCTGACAATTAAAAAAAAAAAAAAGAAAGAAAGAAAGAAAGAAAGAAAGAAAGAAAGAAAGAAAAGAAAAGAAAAGAAAAGAAAAGGGGAGTCATCCCACAGCCTGTTGGTAAAGGTGACCGGATCCCACATGACTAAATATGTAGTTCAAGTCCAGGTCCTGATGGCTTGAAAACATGCAGGGTGTGTGTGCCCCAGATCCTGAGAGAAATGGAAGAGGAGGGATTACTGTGAGGCCTGGACCCATGGCTTTCTCACTTTCCCTCTCCTTTCTTTCTGTCTCTCTCCAGTAAATGCATTTGCCTTCTGGCAAATTGCGAAGGAACCAAAAAAACACTTCAAAATAAAAACTTAAGGGCTAGCAGGTGGCATGGAGGTTAAGGTACTGGATTCCATGTGTCCAAATCTGTGGTTGGAGTCACAGATCCAGCAGTTTGAAAATCCCACTGGGCATATGTGCATGCCCAAAATCCTGAGAGGAGACTGGAGAAGGGACTGAGGCATGGCTAACCCCATTGGGGGGGTGATTTCTCACTTTTCCTCTCTTGCTCTCTGTCTGTCTCTGGTGAGCATATATACCATATAGCAAAACTGGGGGAGGGGGAAAGGAAAGATTAAAATAAGTAAAATAACCCTCCATAGGACTGCTGAGATGATCCAATCCCATTTCCACAATATCGACCTGAAACATTTCTCAACCAGCTACAGCTCTAGTTAGCAATTACAAGTGAAACCAAAGGAAAAAAGTTTGTTCTTTAATGAAAATCACCTGATCCCTAAAGAAAGTTCTTATGATTAAATCTAGATCACAGCTGAACTACAAGTGTATATTTGCCCTTTCTCTTATTAATTCTGCCTAAGATTATCTAAGTAAAAAGCTATCTAAACAATTTCTTATGTTACTATATCTTGGCTAGTTTTAATTTGGGGTACTCAAATTTACTAGATATTCTCATATTCCTTGTATATACATACTTTCTTCTAAAGGAGAGTGGTATATCCATCATCAGAAATACTCTTACCGTCTGGAACAATTCCAGGTATGGACTCCTGACCACTGACATCTTTACTCACGACTTGCTCATGAAACACCAATGGGTCTTCAGGTCGTTCAATTTCCATTTCATTGTTATAATCTAAACAGAAAATGATTTATTTTTTAGACTCATCAGAAAGTTTCTGGTTTTGTTAACAAAAATCAGCAAATATAACTCTGTTTCAGTGAATAATGATATATTTATATTCTTAAAAACTAAAAATTATAATGTAACAAATGGTAATTAGCATTTTATTATTTTAAAAAGATATTCTAGGGACCAGCAGTTAGCGTAAGGACTATGTTGCTGGACTCCCACAGTCGACCACAGTTCGAGTCCCAGACCCGGTGGCTTAGAACTCAGGCCGGGCACGTGTGTGTGTGTGCCCAAGATCCTGAGAGGAGAATGGAGGAGAAGTGATTGCGGTGTGGCCATCTTCCCTGGGAGGTGATTTCTCGCTTTCTATCTCTCTGTCTCTCCGTCTGTCTGGCGAGCACACGCGCCCTACAGCAAAAACCTCTCAAAAAAAAAAAAAAAAGATACTCCACAAGTGCGTACTGGTAATATCTGAAAATGAAATGTCAGTAATTAAGACACTTCTAATCAAGCCCCTTGTAACTTTCTAAAAGTTGCCGCTCATATTGATGAAAGTGAAAAATGGCTGGTCTTTTTTTCACCCTCTAAGAACTTTATTATTATTATAATAGAGTATTACTAAAAGCATTCCATACTTGAACAAATTTTGGGGCGCAAGAGGCAATAATTTACATTCTGGAAGCACATCACAAAACCAAAACTTGTTTAAAGCACGATAATGTGGGTTAGGAATAACAAACCAGGCTGCACTGGCCGAAGGCGAAGGGACTCCCCACTGCGACTTCAAAGACACAGGGAAGGAAATGCATTAGACCTGTAATTCCAACACTGAGAGAATACTCTTAAAGAAGCGGGATTAGGGGCCAGCAGGTGGCACGGTGGTTAGGGGCACTAGACTTCCACATGGCTAACCACAGTTCAAGTCCCAGACCTGGTAGCTTGCTTTCTCACTTTCCTCTTCTCGCTCTGTCCCTCTCTGGTCAAGTAAAATAAAATAAAGGCTAAATAAAATAATTTTCAAAAGAAAAGGAAAATAAAAGAAGCGGGATTAGATGTTAGCCATCAGATTCAGAGATGACCAAAGTAATAGGATATGTAAAAGCTGAGCAACTGAGAGTTAGGTGGGATCCAATACACTGGATGCCCCCTTATGAATAAAGCAATGCACTGATGACTGGTTGCACAGCTTTAGAGAAGCACAGAAGTGGGCCAGCAGGTGGTGCGGAGGTTAAGGCGCTGTCCAACTTCATGGTTCAAGTCATGGACCTAGAGGCTTGAGATTCACACTGGGAATGTGTGCATGAGTCCCCAAAATCCAGAAAGGAGAGTGGAAGAGAAGGGACTGCTGCGTGGCCATCCTGTCTTGGCTGGAGGGAGGCAGGGGAGGGGGAATTCTCACTTCCTCTTTCTGTCTCCCTCTGGGAAGAGCACACCAAACAAATAAAAAAAACAAAAACCAAACAAATAAAAAAACAAAAACACACACAAAAGTTATCATGTTTACCTGGAGCAAGTTCAGCCATTTCCTCTTCATCAACTGGCTGTAGTGGATCCATCCCGGCTCCTAAGTGTTTACAATACAGGCAGACATACTCTTCTTTGAGCTGAGAATCCAGTTCATGATCTGTTGGTTTGTCACATTCTAAGTGAACCCATCTGCAGTGATAAGTATATTTAAATAAAAATTTCTAATTTAAAGTCAAGTTAATATCTAGGAAAAGAGGAGGCAATTGCTGAGAACCTGGACATGAGGAGGGTTAAGGGTTAGAGGAGAGAGGTTGTAAAGGTTGGTAACTGGCAAAAGAGAGCTAGCATTTGTGGATGTCATTCAAGGTACAGACATTAACTCAGTGTTTTTAAGCTACTTGCTCAATACTATCCTTCCTTAGTACTCATATCTGGTCTGGTCCTATCTTTTGATCACTCCCTTCCTCGTGCCTCTCATACATAAAACGTCATTTAAGTCCATCTACAACAGCACTCAACACCCAGGGGATTGCTGGAGTGTAAGAGCCCCAGAGCTCCCTGATACAGGGTAGAGCGAATGTCGACTAGATGAAAGAATCAACACAGTATCTAAATGGAGCAACTGCACCTGCTTACCTTTTGCACATACTACAGTGAAGCATGTCTTTCTGCAACTCCGGATGGTAGCACTTTCCGCAGAATGGACATAAATTATCCTGCTGTTGGTAACAACTGTCACATATCAGGCAATTGTGATGCCACTGCGAACTAGACCGTGTGCCACATTCTACACATATTCTGCAATTCTACACACCAGGAGAAATAAAAATAAAAGCAGCTTGTTATCTATCTAGGATTACAGTTCTGATATAAACCTTTTGAACTCAATGAATCATTTGTGGATTATACAGAAAGTCTTTAAATTTTTATGACACCAATTTAGGGCAAATGTTTTTGAAAAAGCAATTTGTTTTGAATATCTAATGTGATCTTGCAAAATGTGCACTAAAACCTCCAGGGAAATGTAAACAGGGGATGTGGACATACAGGAAAACATAAACATGGAGGAAAGAAAACCAAGAACAGAGCAACCCAAGTTTCAAAAAAGAAATGTATTCCAGAACCAGGAAATAATTATTGTGGCATAAGTCTCCTTAACTATCTCCTGTAGAAAGCAAAATGGTGCCGTTATGGCATTTCACTTGCTTCTTGCTGGTTAGAACTAAACCCAAAAACTCTCCCCAAAGAAATAGCATGATCTACTCCATGTGACTTGATGTCTTAACTGTGAAAATAATCATTCCATACCAAAATCCAATGATGCCTCCTCCCATTTTCAGAACAGAAAGTGGTCCTATCCTCACTGAAGGGGACCTCTCTTGGAACCTCAAGCCAACCAGTACATCTTCTGTGCTTGTGGCCAGACAACCTTCAAATCTGAGGCAAAGGCTCAGTAAGATCTCTCACTATCCACCCCAACTTTCCAGTCTAAGGCACCACTAAAGGGCCAGCCATGGTGTGGTAGTGAAGGCGATGGGACCAGGGGTCTGGCTGGATACTGCATGGCTGACTCTGCTGCTTGAGTCCTGGGTGTGGCAGCTTGAAAAGCATGCATGGGGTGTGAGAGTGTGGGTGTGTGGGTGTGCATGCGTGAGTGCCCAAAATCCTGAAAGGAAGGAAAATAGAGAAGAAGGATTACAACGACACCATGCCCCATAGTGGATGCTTTCTTCTTCTCCGTCTTCCTGTCTCTCTGACAACATATGCATACTCCAGCAACTTAAAAATTAAAAATTTGGGACCAACAGGTGGTGCAATGGTTACATCGCAGGACTCCCACATAGTCGGCCCCGGTCTGAGTCTTGGACCCAGTGACCTAAAACTCATGCCAGACACGCGTGGTGCGTGCCCAAGATTTTGAGAGGAGAATGGAGGAGAGGGAATTGCAGCACTGGCTCAGGAGGTGGGGGGTGGAGGGTGTGGTTTCTCACTGTCTCTCTGTCTCTCCAGCAAGTACACAAACCCTATATAAAAAATTTCTCTAAAAAATTAAAAAAAAAAAAGAAAAGGAATTTCACTTTTTTGGGCTCCTGGGCTGATATGAAAGGGATGCTCATTCAAACAGAGGACCTTGTAGAAAACATTGACCTGCTAGTCTAACTGAATTGAACACTTACATCTAAAAATAGCGATGCAAAATTCTAAATAAAATACCATCAAACAGACCTCAAGATCACATGAGAAAATGCCGTTTATAAAAGCAGGGCACGGGGGCCAGCAGATGGTGTAGCAGTTATATCCCTGGGCTCTTCCTTGGCTGACTACAACTCAAGTCCCAGAACCAGTGGCTTGAAAATCACGCCAGGTGGGACCAGAAGTTAGCATAATGGCTGTCGCTGCATTCCCATGTAGTCGACCATGGTTCGATTCCCAGACCTGGTGGCTTAAACTCACGCCAGCGCATGTGCATGCGTGCCCAAGATCCCGAGAGGAGAATGGAGGAGAAGGGACTGCAGCACGGCCATCCCCCAGGAGGTGATTTCTCTCTGTCTCTCTGTCGAGCGCACGCACCCTATAGCAAAAACCTCTCAAAAAAAGAAACAAACAAAAATTATGCCAGGTGCATGTGCATGTGTGTCCAAGATCCTAGGAGGAGAATGAAGGAGAAAGGATTGTCCCCCAGGGGTAATTTCTCACTTTCCCTCTCGCTGTCTCTTTCTTGCGAGCACACGCACCCTAAGGCAAAAGCCTCTTTAAAAAAAAGGGGGGGGGGAGGCAGCACACAGATATTTGAATATAAGGGGAAAAAAATCTCTTAATAAAGTTTTACATGTTAATAGTTCCAGGGGAAAAACTATTTTAATAGATGCTAAAAGAGTCTTTGGAAAAATTTTTTTAAACTCCTCCTAATAAAAACTCCAGAAAATAAAAATCGATGAGTATTTTCTTAATTGATGAACATATATACTCCTACTCTGAAAGGCAGCATCTTTTTTTCTTTTTAAGAGGTTTTTGCTTTAGGGCATGTGTATTTGTGAGGGGGAGAGACAGTAAGACAGTGACATCCCCGTGGGGGTGGCCACATTGCAATCCCTTTTCCTCCATTCTCCTGGGATCTTGGGTGTGCACACATCCGGTGTGAGTTTCAAGCCAGTGGGTCTGAGCCTCAAACCAGGTCTGAGCCTCACAGGGAGGTCAGCCATGTGGGAGTCCAGTGACGTAGCCATTACGCCATCTGCTGGTCCCAAGGCAACATCATTTACAGGGAACCACTCCCAGTACGGCGGGGAATAGCTCAGAGGTGCCTCTTGTTTCCTCTACTATGTAACGTGGCTCTGGAGTCAATGGAACAAATGAAACAGGCATGAAACTAGTAAAGGAAGAAATGAAACACGATTAACACACAGGATGGCATACTTGGAAAATCCTAGAGAATTAACCATAACTTCAGCAAAATAATTCAACAAACTAGCAGGTTATAACTAAGCATGCAAACATTAATAAGGTTCACATACAACAATAAAAGATTTAATAAATAAAAAGATCTCACGTTTAACAGCAACATAACAGGTAGGACATTTAAGAATGGAAGAAATGTACAAAATCTAGATGAAGAAAATTTCCTAGAGGACACAAAGCCTGACTTGAACAAATGCAGACATTCCTGGCTCTTGGATAGGATGTCTTAATATCATCAAGGTGTTGGTCCTCCCTAAATCAATTAATAAATCCAATGTAATTCCAATTTCAGTGGGGGTTTTAATGAAGCTAGATGAGGTGATCATAAAGTTCATATGGAAAAACAAGTAGGCGAACCAGCTAGGAAATACGAGAGGAGGAGACAGGCTGAAGGGCAGCCCCATCTCACCAGGCACCACGAAGCTTTGTAACTAAAATAGTATGGTACTGGTACTGGAGTCTGAACGGCCAGATCAACCGAGCAGAAGAGAGATTCCCACAGTGCACAGTCTCCACCATATCTAAAGCTCAAGCCTGGAATTTCAAGTCACTGGGACAAAAAGTGTCTATTCAATGAATGGAAAACTGACTAGTCAAATGGAAGAAGATAGTCACACCATACACAAAAATCAACTCCAAATGAACCACACAACAAATGTAAAAAACAAAACAATGTAAATACTAGAAAAAAATAACTTCTTCATAACCCCAGTGTTCGGCAGAACCTTGTAATTATGATTAAAATAAACCTAGAAACAATAATAGATTGATAAATCTGATAACTACAAAATAAACTTTGAGGCCATCCCTGTAATCTGGTGGAATTCACACTCCACCATGGCCAACCAAGCAATTAAATTTCAAACCTGGTAGCTTGAGAAACATACCAGGTGTGTGTGTGTACTTAAAATCCCAATGAGATGGGGAACCAGCAGTTAGCGTAATGGCTATGTCGCTGGACTCCCACGTAGTCAACCGCGGTTCGCGTCCCAGACCTGATGGCTTAAAACTCACACCGGGCACGTGTGCGTGCGTGCCCAAGATCCCGAGAGGAGAATGGAGAAGGGATTGCGGCATGACCATCCCCCCTGGGGGGTGATTTCTTGCTGTCAGTCTCTGTTTCTCTCTCTGTCTGTCTGGCGAGTGCACACACCCTATAGCGAAAAAAACCTCTCCAAAAAAAAAAAAATCCCAATGAGATGGAGGAGTACGGTGTGACCATGCCCCTCTGGGGGATATACTCTCTCCCTCTCCTTCCGTCTCTGTGTTTCTCTCTGGTGAGTATATGCACCTTCTGGAAAAATTTTTCAAAAGAAAATTGAAAACAAACTTTGAGGGCCAGTTGGTGGCATGGGAGTTAGGGTGGCTGGATCCCACATGGCCGACTGGCAAGAGATGGGGGAGAGACCAGGTATTCCTGAAGTACACAAGTCTGAGTTCTCAGTCTCTATTCTATAGTGGAAATTACAGTCAACTCCACAGCATTTGCCTCGCCACGGAAAATGACAAGTTCTTGAGGATTACTCTCAGGCAGTGGCCCCCCCCTGCATTTTTTTTTCTTTTGAGAGGTTTTTTTTTTTGGCTATAAAGCGTGTGCACTCACCAGAAAGACAGAGAAAGAGAGACAGAAAGCAAGAAATCGCCGCCCAGGGAGGATGGCCACACCACAATCCCTTCTCCTCCATTCTCCTGTCGGGATCTTGGACATGCATGCACATGTTACCTGTGGAAGTTTAAGCCACTGGGTCCAGGACTCCAATCGCGGTCCACTACATGGGAGTTCAGCGACATAGCCATTATGCCAACTGCTGGTCCCTCCCCTCGCATTTTTTAAAAATCCATTTTCAGTTTTATACCTTACCTCCCAAAATGTTATCATCAATATTCTAAATAAAATCTGTATTACCTGAAAACATATTAGGAAATATTTACTTTTTACAGCCTTAAAGTAAAAAGGATTAACAAAAAGTCTTTCTGTCATGCTTTTCATCGTATACAACAAATGTACATTCTGTACAATAGAGTTTTATTGCCCCCCTCCAGAAAAAGAGCAGATGTGCAAGATTAAGAGGTGGTGTACAACAGCTCTGGCTCAGTGGAAGTCGGTGCTGTGGGTCAAGGCCCTCATTTGCAGTCTGGAAACCTCGCTAAGCACACTGGCACCGCTTGCCCATGATCCAAGGCTGGCTGAAGGCTGGAGGTGGATGGAAACATCAAGATCCTATTGATCTTATTCATCCGGCTCCTTCTCTCTGTTTCTCTTTCTCTCACTGTCACTCTTGCTCATGAAAGAAATAAACTCAAAAAAAAAAAAAATTGGGAGGGCCAGCTGGTTGGGTAGTAGTTA